ACTCCTGACCTCAGTCCACCGTCCTCGGCCTCCCAAAGTGCTTGGATTACAGGGGTGAGCCACCACACCCGACCCGAACCCAAGTCTTAAAAGTACTCTGTTACTCTCTACTCAAAATTTACAAAGCTTTACTTTAGGTTTACTCCAGTTTAGATACAGGTAAATATCTGAAACTCACTTCAATTGCTTACCTCATTGGCCAGTTGGAAGCATCAAAACTTTCTGTGTAACACTTGGAATGTTTATTAAAAATCAGTCAGTTACATCATTTCTATAAAACAGTTCATATATAACAGACTGCTCATAAATCAGGTACTTCTTCCCCTGGAAAAGTCACTGAATTCTTCAACTTTATGACTTCTACTTTTTAAAAAATTTGTTTTCCAATATGATAACCTCCTCTGATAGCACCAAGTCCCCTAGAGGAAAATACACATAGCTCAAACACCTGTGCTGCTCTTATAAACCTTTTGCTTCTGCAATTAACAATGGGCCAGAGATAAAGGGGCGAACCTAAGATTTTTCCAATGGGTGCAAGTTTGTCATGGATCCCATAGGATGGTTTCAGGGATGGTGCTAATTATTTTGCTGCTTGTAGGTATCTCACCAGCAACTCATATAATCCCAAACATTATGATCTGTTCCTGTGAATCTGTAGAGAACTAACTGTGATTTTCCCAAAGCTAGAAAAAGCAGAAGCAGGAGTTCAACTCAGCTCTGTCTGGTATCCAAATCTAGGCTTTTCTCACCATTTCAATTGACCCAAGATAGTGCTTGTCTGATCTGTTATGGATATGCCTACGTAACAGTTTCCCACAATTCTTCTATAGGTGTCCTTAGCTACTGGAGCCTCCGAAAACCCATTTTAATGCCACTTCTGTCTCCTGCTTAGTATTGCTAATACTTCCTGAAAGAGCCTATTCTCTCAGCAGCTGGTGATATTTGATTTGATTAACACCCTGGGACCGATCACCAGACTTAAAGATGATGCCTAATTAACTGCTTACGTTAAAGAGTTGGCACTTTCTGCATTTGGTTCACACTTCCAGCCTCAATCATGTTTTCGTTTCAGCAATAATATTTACATGATTAGCAAATAGTCAATTCATACTCTGGTGTGGACCTAAGCTGTGTTTGGGACTTCCCAAAGCAGATGTCCTTGACAGGGGTAAAGAAATAGGCTTTTTTTCATAGCAAGAGTCATAAGCAAGATCTTCTGCTCATTTGTCAATGAAAAATTATGTTTGGATCAAGAAATATTAGTTGAGCACTGACCTAAGTGCCAGTCATTATATTTCCAAGGCCCCCATACGCCCTCACTAAATAATCATATTAGACTCATCTCAGTTTTGTTATCCTTTTTCTTTCTTTCATTATATATTTATTTATAAATTTATTTATTTAGATGCATAGATTAGGAAAAGGCATTCTACATTAGACATTCGAAGTTTTAAAAGGCATTTGCAAAGGTCTCTCAAGTCATTTTCACGCAAAACCCAGAAATACATAGCCTTAATGATACTACAATTAAGTAAGCTTGTGATGTTAAATGATCCCCAAGATGTGAATAGACATTGAAGGAGCACGGAGAGTTTCACCCCAAAATAGGGCTCCCTGATATAATGAATGTTTTGAATTGGAAACCCTTTGAAATCAATAGGCCTTGGAAGAGACTTTTCCCCTTCTTCATAAGGATTAGATGGAATCACCAAGATGAACAATTGCTTTTCCTTTCTTTCCTTATAATCTTATCATCTATTTCAAGAAGGGAGAGGAAGAAGGTAACCGGACCAGGCCCAGCCTTTTTACAAAACAATGTCTGTCTCTCAGGTTCATTCAACTTCCAAAGAGAACCACAAGTCAATCACTGTTCACCACCCACCTGCTCTGCAATCCACTAATTCTCCCAAATCTTCATTCATTTTTCCTGGTAATCATTTAATGCCCTTCAACAGAATTACCTATATTCTCCATGTTCCGCCTCGCTTCTAAAAGGTTATATAAGTGTTTGGGCCTCATTGGGATATTGGGAAATCACTCTGATTCTCCCTGTGTGCATGGTTAAATACATTTGTATGCCTTTTCTCTTATTAATCTGCCTTACCATAAGTTGATTTTTCAGTGCACCCTCTGAGGGCAAGGGGGAAGCTTCCCCTTGGCCCCAACAAGGTCAAACTGGAAAGACGCAAAGTGCCACAGGGCTATTCCTTTCTTTCTTTTTCTCTTTTCTTTTTGAGACAAAGTCTCTCCCTGTCACCCAAGCTGGAATGCAATGGTATGATCTCAGCTCACTGCAACCTCCATCTCCCAGGTTCAAGCGATTCTCCTGCCTCGGCCTCCCCAGTAGCTGAGATTACAGGCACATGCCATCAGGCCTGGCTAATTTTTTGTATGTTTAATAAGACACAAAAATTAATAGAGATGGGGTTTCACCATGTTGGCCAGGCTGGTCTCGAGCTCCTGACCTCATGATCCTCCCACGTGGCCTCCCAAAGTGCTGGTATTATAGGCATGAGCCACTGAGCCTGGCCCTATGCAGTATTTTTAAATCAATAATTTGGGTAATGATATAGAAAAGCAAGATTATATCTTCAGGTAACAGGAATTTGGAAGGGAGAAGTCAGCATTTTGGATGACAAAGTTCTTGACAGACTGGATAATGGGTTGAATCATAATGTCATGAAATTTAGTAGGAACAAATGCCAAAAAACCACCAGCACAAGTACTAGATAGGGAAGATGTGGCGTCATGGCAGCAAGGGTGGAAAAGACTTGAGAACTGCACTTACACGAGACAAGCTTATATGAGACAATGGTGTGACATATGGACCAAGAAGACTTGAGAACTGCACTTACACGACACAAGCTTATATGAGACAGTGGTGTGATGTACAGGCCAAGTCCCTAACGCATCTGTTTGGCTGCACCTGTAGTGTACCAAGGCTTAGGATGGTGAGAGCTCTGCCCTCATTTTTGCTAGTCAGCTCACTCTTAGATATTACATTCTGTTCAGTTTTAGGTAGGTTTACCAAAAATGATATTCTAATAAGAACACTTTTGAGAATGAAGGAGTTGCTAGTAATAATTAAGCTCAGAAAATAGCCATAAACTAAGATCCCTGGACACAGAGGACCTATGTTAGCTAGTTATAAAAGATGTAGACAAATTGGAGGATATTTGGATGAGAGGCTCAAGGAAAGGAAGGTTCTCAAAGAAACAGACTATGATAAAATTAAAGGGGTGTTCAGCCTGGAGAAGAGTAACCTGAGGTTTATAAGAAAGTTTTTTTTTTTTTTGAGATATTTAAAGGCAACAAATGGAGGAGGGATGGGGCTTGTGAATTATGGGTCTTAAAGTATAGAGAAAATTACAGCTTCTCAGGCCAGCCCAAGAGGAAGGGAGTGAAAAGCCAATCTCCAACCCTAGATGTTACAATTTTATAAAACAAATTTGGAGTGCTTACAAGACACCAAATCTCCAAACTGCACCCCCACCCCAATTCCAATTCAGTGATGACTATTTTCTGTTATTGTTCTAACTGTTTCCAGAATGGACCCTGTGAAAGACTTTTTGAACATCAGCCTAGCTACCACCATCAGTTCTTGTTCACATACCTACTAACTTCTTCAAAAAAATCCAATAAAATAATTCTTTCTTAATGAAACCCAGCCATTTTTCTTTTAAAAATGTTATTTCATTGTCTAAATATATGGTGGTTCCTCTCTCTTTTTAAGATCTTGATAGCTGGACTTTATGGAAGTTAGACACCTACAGATTTGTGATTCACTGGGCTCCTATAGTTTCACATATGCCTTTTTCAGGGAACTATTTGGACTTCAGAGTCTTCTTCAATATTCTTCTCTGTAAAGACCAACACAAATATCATGTTATACTGAACCTAAGACACCAGTGGTTGTAAGATGCACCACTATTATGTACCAGTAAGACAGAATAAAATGCTGCCAATTAAACTCTATTCCAAATGTCTTCACAAGTAGAGTATCCAACTCCTCTGAGTCACTTTTCAACTCAGAAATGGCACCTTTGTTCCCATTTTTTGTATGATATTGGTATCCATGTCATCAAGAGCATTGAGAATGCAACACTTATTTACAAAACACTCTGATATTATCTTTGAATCTTCTTCCAAGCACTAACACTTGATCTAGAAGCATTGATGTTTACTTTTTTAAAAATCTAACCAGCAGACGACAACAGTAGATTTACTTTTTTTCCAGTAAATCGGGATTTACTTTTTCTTAGTTTGTTGACTGAAACTTTGAGGGGTTGAAGTTGACCAGTTATGCCATTGTGACTAACAACAAAATTTATACTGCATGGGCAATGATACGACATCTCAATGCCACCAGGCCAACAGATGTCTGGGATGTTAAAATGTAAAATATGATTGTATTAGATTTGACAAAATACAATAACTCCTTTTGCATATCTGCCTTCTTGTCTTAGGTGATACCCTTACCTGATAATCTGAGCACTGCTTTCCTAGCTGACTGGGACAACCTTTATTAGCTCCTTTTCACTTTAGCTGAGCATCTTCTCAAATGCTCTACTGGGTTGTCCTTATTTCCATTTTATGTACAACCTACTCTACTTTGATAATATTCCTAATTCTTTCATTTCAGCTAGTTTCCATTTTATGGTCATCAACTAGTAGAAAACAAAACAAAAATGAAAAGGTCAACCAAGATTTTGCATCTCAAAGACACACTTCATCTCTCACTGTTTTAAAGAAGAGCTATACAGCTTTATGGTAAAGAGGCAGCCTTAGCCAAGGCTGTGGAAAAGAAAAATAATTTGTGGAGATACTTAAAATGTAGACTGCAGTGGGATAACATAAGACCCACTCACTCTGACTCTTGGAATAAAGGATGAGGCTTTCAAAGAAGCAGGCATTTATATCTTTCAAAAAGTTCCACAGATTAATGTGACATGTCATCTAAGTTGCAAACCCTCAGGAAGAGAAAGAAATCAGGCATTTTCCAGTTCATCTAGGGACAGCTCTATTGGCACATACAAAAATAAATTTGAAATTAAGAGGGCTTAAGTCTAAGTGGGCTGCAAAAAACAATCCACATGGACGGACCATGCTTGTATTCAAACCATGATATTCACACCATCCTGTATTCAATATGATTCAGTTAAGGGCTGTGATGGACGCTACGACGACCAGACATGGGAATGGGTATGGTGAGAGCATAGGCAGAAAACAAAGGATGAGATTTCCTTTTATCGACATCCCAACATCCCAACTGATGCCTGGTCTGAAGAAACAGAGAAAGTGATCTTTTCCTCCATTCTCCAGCCATAGCTTTCCAGGTCCATTTCAGGGGCAAGATGACCTACAGATAATTAAGAAACAGTTTCACGAATTGGGGATATCCTATAGCTTTAGAGTGGAGAGTGCCACTAATGAGGGCTTACACTTGGAAAAAATTCAAATCCCTGCACCCAAGGGCTCAGAAGGCAGGTTATGGCTATGGCAGAGCTCTGACGTCCTCTCCTGATCATCTCCATTTTTGGCAAAAGTTCTTCTGAATTTTAGATAGATATTAAGATCACCCGTGTTGCCTGGGTAAAGCAGATAATTGGTGATTCTACTGTTAGCTCTATTGCCTTTTAATTGTGCCACGGAATTCAGAATGCAGTACCGACTCCAAATCCCAGATCACCTCTTGCTCACCTATAGATCCAGGGACCTCTTGTTTGTGACCATGGACGAGTATAAGAGTGATTGTCTCCTGTAAACTTCTTTCCCATCTGAGCCTAAAGTAGACGCTGGAAGCAAGAACACCAAAAGCACAAATCATTGCAAATTGGTGCTGATGGTTCAAATATTTATGCTGTCCTTTTATTTTGGACAAACACTATGTGCCAGGCCCTTTATATACAGTCTCATCTATTCCTCACCACAACCTATGTAGACATCATTGTTCACCCCCATTTTACAAAGAGAAAACAGACTCAAGTTAAGCAACACCCCCAAGGTTACAAAATAAGTAAGTGCTGAATCCAGGAATTAATCTGAGATCTGATTCCAAAGTCAAAGGTCTCTCATACGTTGGATGTATTTGAAAGGCAGTGAGGAAAAAATACATATTGATGGATGGATAGCAGGATGAGTAGATGGACAGATATCATAACATAAATATAATAGAGGGCATATTATAGAAGCTATGTGGTCATTACACGGGTGTTCAATGAATGAGTCTTTAAACTGTTTGTATGTTTGAAAAAAATTGAAATAAGTTAGGGGTAAAGAAGAAAATTGTGAGGAATTCAGAGACATTGCCAATTAAACATTCTTGTAAGCATCTGTCTCATGTTTCACTAACTATGTGTTTTAGAATTTTAAGTTAATTTAGTTTGACAAATATGTGTTAAGGCTTTATTATGTAATAGGCACCAAAATACCTGCCAGCCTAGGATGCTACATTCATTGTAGGTGCTGGGGCTGCACAAGATGGAGCTCTTCTGGGGTTTACAAATTAGCAGCTGACACTATCGTGACCAAAAACCTGCAATACAAAGGTGACTTGATAAAGGGCTATCATGGATGTGTGAGGTGCTGAAGGAGCATGAGGATGGATAAGATAATAATAGCTGAGAGGTTTGGAAAACTGTCAGGGAACAGACAAAATTGAAATTGCACCTTAGAAACTGGGGAAGATGTCAAAAGGACAGGAAGAGGAGCAGTATCTGAAGTAGGGGCTTTGGAGCAAAGGCACAGAGGTGGGACAGGGCCTGTGAAGAATGCACAGGAAAAGAAGAGACTGTTGGAAAAGAAGGAAGGAAGTGCTGGGCATTACCCACCAAAATGTGGAACCAACTTTCACAAAGGAAATGTTTGACAATTATTAGAATTCTCTCAGATTTCACTTTGTTGAGTCTTCGTTTACTTATCAGTAAAGTGGGAATAATATCTGGTCTCACAGATACTATTTAAAGGATTAAATGAGGAAAAATGATAGAAGTTCCTAGAAGAGTGCCAGCCACATATCAGCACTTACTAAGCAATGCAGACTGAGCTACACCCACGAGCCTGGGGCTGCACATAAACTAACTACACAGCAATAGTCAAGATTTGTATTAGGCTGTAAGACAAATCTTGATTGGGAATTGTTACAATTCTCCTAAATCCCAGAAAGGAGGAGCTAAATAGTTTTGTCAGGTATGACTGATTTTTTTTAAATTAACTTATTGATTGAATGACTGGTTTTACTTTGGGTTCAGGACTCAATCAACAAATTCAATTGTACAAGAAGTGAAACTTTATTTTTCTGTAACCACTTATCTATTTTGAGCCTATCTTCAGTGTTAGAACCTAATTTCCCTCAATTCTGCACCCCCACTCTTTTCACTGGTTTCCAGGGGTCTTACACTGTACCAGAGCAATGGGTGGAGATAGCATCACACATCTCTTTGTGATGCTATCTCAGCACCAGCCTTGGCTGATATGACCTTATTCCTGGTGGGTTTTCACCACTGAGCTGTTCCCCAGCATGAGACTCCTTCAGACATGGCACATTTTCTCTCAACTGTTGCCAAGCCCCTTGTTGGCACAGGAAACTTTACTGCACTGCTTTCAGGCCACAGGGGCACCAGGAAGCTCTGTGGGTCCTTCATTACTATTCCGGTGGGACTTTTGGGCACAGAAGACTCATTCTAACACTTGTGAGCTGTGCTGGGGTACACTCAGTTCTTTGAGGCTGGCTCCGACCATCTGTCCCCTGGATACCACTCAGCCATTTCTGTGGTGGATTTTGCAGTCTTCTTGAGCTCTACTTGGAGGTGATGACAACCCCAATCCATCTTCAGTTCTGTCGTCCACAACCCTCTCCTCTGGGGAGCAGGGTGTAGAGTCTTTTTCTCAGAGGAGAAGGGAGCCACCAGCATCTAAGGGCTGTCTCTGCTTCCTCTTCCCCCTCCACCTTCCCTTCCCTCCTCCCCACCAGCATCTAACAGTTCCCTTTCCTCCCCTAGCTCTAACACTGTCCTCACAGCACACCTGAAAAACTTCAGGTCCTACAAGGGGTGGGAAGCCTTACATCAGTTCAGCTTAGTGTCTCTATGCCAAGTGCCCTCAGGGTCTTGACTTTGGAAAATCAAAAGGCTTTTTTTCTTGCTCTCTGGTGAAACTTCTTCCTGATAGAATAAATGATATCTAAATGGGTTTGGGGGAGGCGGCAGAGGCAACAGGAGCTGCCAGAAGAGGCAAATCAGTTAATATATTTAAAATATTCTGCCAGTGTTCTTCTCATCCCTTTCAATTGACTTCATCCTTTGAACAAGGTGGGACATTTTTCCTGCTAGTTCTTATGTCTCAGAATTTCATTTCCAGGTGACCTGCTGCAGACTGGGCTAGAGTGGCACTAGGTGACCCTAATACTTACAGAAAATGAATCACACTTCTTGAAAGCTGCCTTACCCTTAGAGTTATGGCTGACTCCCTGGAGGTTTCTTCAAGAAATTCAGCCGATGGCTCCCCAAGTTGCTAATCACCAAAGTGCATGATACTTTAGAAATAACACTTGATTTCTAGTATTTGTATGGCTGGTGTGCCTACTGTACAGTCTTTGAAAAATTATAACACAAGATCCTTTAGTTGGGGCTATGTGCTTCACAAGTTTCATGTGCTAGTAATCACAACAGGGAATTAAGTATTGCTCATACTGCCACCTGTTCATGCACAGCTTCTTTCTGGCCTTGCTGGTAAGATTTCTGCTCCTCCTCATCCTTTAAGGCGTGTCTTTAGCTTGATGCTGGAGTAATTTCTTTTGTTTCAGTTACCCTCTCTGGGTATGATAGTCTTCTATATCAAGCTTGGAGCCTGAAAGAGAAGTAACTTGTCAGTTTAAAAAAAAAAAAAGATAAAAGTCAAAGATCAGGATGTTTGAGAAAAAAAAAAATATTAACTTGGTTCTTTTCTTCACTAATTACTCACCCCAAACAAGACCCCGAAGAGTTTCATTTCTAAAACATAACTCTCTATATTAAGAAGACTCCCAGTTCAGGTTGATAAATACCCATAGGGTCTATCTCTCACCATGAACCTGCACAGGTAAGGGGCAGAAAACTCTCTCTCCATTAAGCACTAAGAAACTTTCCTTGTCACAATTAAAGTCCTCTTTGGTGGCCAAGGATTTATCAGCAACCTTGTTCATAATGATCATCTTATGAATGGTGACAGAGAAAAATAAATCACTTCCTCTTGCTAATAAATTGCTCCAATTGCTTCAAAATGGCAGACTTTCTGCTGAAATGAACCTTCCCTGGGCCAATAATAATATTCCTAGAGAAAAACTGGGGAAGTGAGGGATTGAAGTGGGGTGGGGCCTATATTTCCAGCATCTGAAGGGAAACAGCAACACATGGCTTCATCACCTTACCTATATTCTTCAACAGCCCCTAGAAGAGATGCTGACCTCAGATAAGCTGAGGTTCACCTTCACCCATCCAAAGAGTTACATCTTAATTATTCAGTTGAACTTTTATTATTTAGTAAACAAGAATATAAGTGCCCAATATTTGGTGTTTTATCAGTTACAGCCTTTGTCTTAATTCTGTACAAAATACACAGAAATTTCTCTCCCAACAACATCCTCCCTCAAAATAAGCATATGCTTTTAAAAAAAAATCACCTAAGCAGACTTTTTCCAAGAAGCACATATAGTCCTTTTTATTCAAGGTAACATGCAGACCTGTTAAACTTTTTTTTTAATTTTTTAAAATTTGAAGTCTTCTCTGAAGACTTCAATAAAGGGAGCTCATATGCCTCACCCAGTCTGCCTGACTTAAAGTAGCGTGAGGCAAGAATCATCCACATGCAGAGTTAAACAATGAAATTTTCCAAGTATATACACGCTGTGAGAATCGATAACCTCTTCTCAAACGAGCAAATTGGTTTCAAGTATTCGGTTCACTGGTTACATCCAACAGCCACAATAAGAGGCCACCTCCCGAGTGAAAGGGAAGGTGAAGATGAATTCTTGAAAAATGCGTTCTCATCAGAATTCCTGTGCTTCTTACTGCATGGATGGTATTTGTAAAATTCTTCAGAAAGAACACTGAGTTTAATTTCAGGCAACCTTTTTTGTTGATTTTTTTTCACTAACTTTAATTTTCTTATATGAACTGTGATATACAAAGGCAATCACTTTCAGTATAAAATTAAGAATGGCAAAAGTAATTTTATAAAAACTACTGTAGAAATAACATCATCCAATTAAATTTATAGAATATGCCCAAAAGAAAAATGTAAGAATATTCACATGAAGAAATATTAATCTAGTGCTCAGAAGACCAGAATATGTACTCCAGGGGCGTCAGGGGCAGGAACTAGGAAATAGAGATAAAAGTTGCTTTTTGAGACCTTTCTCGCCTTAACCCTGAATGCTTCATGCTCCCAAAGAATCCATTTATGGAAACACAAATTACTTCATCCTCAGTTTCACTTAAAATACAAAAAACAGGTTACACTTTCTTCTTTTTTTATTATTTTTCTTTGAGACGGAGTTTTGCTCTTGTCACCCAGGCTGGAGTGTAATGGCACGATCTCAGCTCACTGCAACCTCCGCCTCCCAGGTTCAAGCGATTCTCCTGCCTCAGCCTCCTGAGTAGCTGGGACTACAGGCACCCACCACCACGCCCAGCTAATTTTTGTATTTTTTTTAAGTAGAGGTGGGGTTTCCCCACATTGGCCAGGCTGATGTTGAACTCCTGACCTCAGGTGATCTGCCCACCTCGGCTCCCCAAAGTGCTGGGATTACAGGCATGAGCCACCGCGCCTGGCCACAGGTTACATTTTCAGGTGTTATTAAGTTGTTTATACAAATTTAAAGTCATAAGCATGACTTCAGGATCTGTGCTTTTTATGTCAAGTGCTCCTCTTTGTTGGAATTTTAACAATAAAGTTTTTTTCAGAGTGCTGTGCAGTATCTCATTTCATGAAAATAATTCATGGCATAATTTGATGTTTTCTGGCTTAGATTTCTCTTTGCAGCCAGGCTATCCTTTCTAAAATAAAACTGATATTCTCTAGAAAGGTTTGCCTGAAGTGATTGCCGTTTCTACTGAGCTATGTTCTGGGAATATCTGTCAGAAAATCTGGTCATTGAAAGCAGAATTGTCTGTGTCCTTCGTTCCCAGGCAAATAACCTGTGTTTTCTCTTTTCTCCCTTCCTTCCCTCTCATTCCCTGAGGGCATCCACCCTTCTCTCCAGCAATCCCTGTGTGTCATCACCTCCTCAAACTGCCTTTCCTCCCATGCTCTCAGAGGGCTTCTGTTCCAATCCTTCTACTCTTGGAATCTCCTTTTCTTTTCTTCCTCTTGACATGGAATGTTAATATAGAAATTCTTGCAAAAATATGGCTACCTTTATAGTCTAGATAAAAGAAAAATCTTCCTCCTAACTTGTGCTTTCTTTCTTTAAATTTTTTTTAGGGGGGTTGTTTCCTAAGTTCTGGGATACATGTGCAGGGTGTGCAGGTTTTTTACATAGGTAAACATGTGCCATGGTGGTTTGCTGCATCCATGAACCTATCACCTAGGTATTAAACCCAGCATGCAGTAGCTATTTTTCCTGATGCACTTCCTCCTGCTGCCATGCCACAGTAGGCCCTGGTGTATGTTGTTCCCCTGTCTGTCTCCATGTGTTCTCATTTTTCAGCTCTCACTTATAAGGGAGAAAACGTGGCGTTTGGTTTTCTGTTCCTGAGTTAGTTTGCTGAGGATGATGGCTCCCAACTCCATCCATGTCCCTGCAAAGGACATGATCTCATTCCTTTTTACGGCTCCATAGTATTCCATGGTGTATATGTACCATGTTTTCTTTATCCAGTCTATCATTGATGGGCATTTGGGTTGGTTAATGGGATCACTGATGGGCAATTCGGTTGATTCCATGTCTTTGCTACTGTGAATAATGCTGCAGTGAACACACATGTGCATATATCTTTATAACAGAATGATTTATATTCCTTTGAGTATAAACCAGGTAATGGGATTGTTTGGTCAAATGGTGTTTCTGGTTCTAGATCTTTGAGGAATTGCCACACTGCCTTCCACAGTAGTTGAACTAATTTACATTCCCACCAACAGTGTAAAAGCATTCCTATTTCCGTGCAACCTCGCCCACATCTGTTGTTTCTTGACTTTTAATAATCGTCATTCTGACTGGCACGAGATTGTATCCCACTGTGGTTTTGATTTGCATTTCTCTAATGATCAGTGTTGTTGAGCTTTTTTCATATGTTTGTTGGTGGCAGAAAAGTCTTCTTTTGAGTAGTGTCTGTTCATGTCCTTTGCCCACTTTTTAATGTGGTTGTTTTTTTCTGGTAAATTTGTTTAAGTTTCTTGTAGACTCTGGATATTATCCATTTGTCAGATGGACAGATTGCAAAAATTTTTTCCCATTCGGTAGGATGTCTGTTCACTCTGATGATAGTTTCTTTTGCTGTGCAGAAGCTGTTTAGTTTAATTAGGTCCCATTTGTCAAATACTTGCTTTTGGTGCAATTGCTTTTGGCGTTTTTGTCATAAAATCTTTGCCAGTGCCTATGTCCTGAGTGGTATTGCCTTGGCTTTCTTCTAGGGTTTTTGTAGTTTTAAGTTTTACATTTAAGTCTTTAATCCATCTTGAATTAATTTTTGTATAAGGTGTAAGGAAGGGGTCCAGTTTCAATTTTCTGCAGATTGCTAGCCAGTTCTCCCAGCACCATTTGTTAAATAGGGAACCCTTTCCCCATTTCTTGTTTTTGTCAGGTTTGTCAAAAATCAGATGGTCGTAGATGTGTGGTCTTACTTCTGAGATCTCTATCTTGTTCCATTGGTGTATGTGTCTGTTTTTGTACCAGTACCATGCTGTTTTGGTTACTGTAACCTGTAGTATAGTTTGAAGTTGGGTGGCATAATGCCAGCTTTGTTCTGTTTGCTTAAGATTGTCTTGGCTATACAGCCTCTTTTTTGGTTCTGTATAAATTTTAAAATAGTTTTTTTCTAATTCTGTGGAGAATGTCAATGATGGTTTAATGTGAATAGCATTGATTCTGTAAATTACTTTGGACAGTATTTTCTACTTAAGCACACGTACTTTCAAAGGGACATATATGGAAGAAAAGGATATCCTAGCCAGCATATCACAGGGCTCATGAGCAGCTTCTTCCTTTGAATGGTCTCTGGGCTCTCCTCCATTCCCATCACTCTGGCCCACCCCACACTCACTACTAGAATTGCAGACATCAGAACATGGCTTGATGATATCTTTCATCCATGAAGCTCTGGAAATTGCTAGTAATTGGAATTCTCTTTCCTTTCATAGCCTCCAAATCCTTCTCAAAGGTCATAGGACTTAGTAAATGTTAGGGCTTAAAACTACTATTTTAGGGACACCTCATCCATTCAACAGGCCTTTATGGACTGACCTAGAACTACTACTAACACTAATTTATTTTATTTACTGATAACCTTATATCCCTATTTGTTAAAGGAATTTTAGCATTATTAATAGCATTGTTGATGACAAGCCTAGCACCTAAGAAAAACTATGAGTTAGAACCAACTGAATTATACACCTAATCTTTGATAAAGAGTATAAAAGTTGAAGGCTCCTCCTTGTCTGTTTGCTTGCTTTTCACATTTTTTACCTTTCTGCATATTTATTTATTCAACAAATATTTGATAATCCCCTGCTACACATTCTATTAGGTGCGATGACTAAAACAACAGGCTAAAGCAGAGAGCTCCTGCCCTTGTGGAGCTTACAGTCTAGTAGAATAGACAGACAACCAAATACTGGGGGAAGCGGGAGTAAAACTGCTACAATAACAAATG